GAGGGCAACCAAAATGATTAGGGGGCTGGAGCATATGACTTATGAGGAGAGGCTGAGGGACTTGGGTCTGTTTAGTCTGCAGAAGCGAAGAGTGTGGGGGGTTTTGATAGCAGCCTTCAACGTCCTGAAGGGAGGTTCCAAAGAGGATGGAGGGAGGCTGTTCTCAGTAGTGACAGATGGCAGAACAAGGAGCAATGGTCTCAAGTTGTGGTGGGAGAGGTCAAGGTTGGATATTAGGAAAAACTATTTCACTAGGAGAGTGGTGAAGCACTGGAATGGGTCACCTAGGGAAGTAGTGGAGTCTCCATCCCTAGAGGTGTTTAAGTCTCAGCTTGACAAAGCCCTGGCCGGGTTGATTTAGTTGGTCCAGGTTGGATATTAGGAAAAACTATTTCACTAGGAGGGTGGTGAAGCACTGGAATGGGTTACCTAGGGAAGTAGTGGAGTCTCCATCCTTAGAGGTGTTTAAGTCTCGGCTTGACAAAGCCCTGGCCGGGTTGATTTAGTTGGAATTGGTCCTGCCTAGAGCAGGGGGCTGGACTTGATGACCTTCTGAGGTCTCTTCCAGTTCTATGATTCTATGAATGCTGTGGGGGGAGCCTCGAGCTTTGAGGGCCAGATCCAGGCAAGCTGGGGGCCATATCCAATGCCCGGGCCTTAGGTTCCCCTCCCCTGTTCTAGACTTTTGGTGTCTCTTCACCACCATATGTTAAAATATAGGTTTTAAAAACAGGGATGGACAAACTTTTTAGCCTGAGAGTTGCATTTTGGTATGGCTCTCAGGGGTGGGGCCATAGGAGACCAGGAGGGGATTGGGTGCTCTGCCACATGTGGGGGGAGGAGAGTGGCTGTGCAGGGATGGGGATCTGATCCCAGAAACAGTGCAGAGAAGTCATGCTTATGAAGCATGGCTCTGCTATATGCCAAAAGGTGGAAGAATTGTGAGTCAGGGATTGGGAAACGCTGTGCAGGCAGAGTGGGGCAAGCCCCTGATCCTGCTCCCCGGCGGCAGTTTGAGGGCTTGATAAAAAAGTCTGCCAGGGCAGATGATGCCTGCAGTGAATAGTTTGCTCCCCTATGCTTTAAGAGCTGGATTTCATTCAGACTCAAAACTTTGTATGTCTGCATGCACTCAATGTAGGAAAAGCCACTGGGCCAAATTCAGCCCTGGTGTAAGTGGCTTTTATGAGAACTGCACCCGCTTACACCAAGCTGGATTTGATTAAATGTGATACTTTCTGTGATGACAATCCAATTAGAAGTAACTCAAGTGTAACGGGTCACTGTAATGGTTTGGTGGAAGGGGAGAGACCAAAGAAAATAACCCATTTTTCATGACACATGTATTTGTTAATATGTGCCTATAAGACTTGCTTAGCCTTGTCATGTGTGAACATTTTAAGGCTGTGTTTGGCCAAGGAGCAGACCATTAGTAATTGAACAGATGGGACATCATAAGGATAAGTAGTAGTAGTGCAATGTATCCAACATTATTCATACACTTTTACGTTTTACCTTGCATCCACACTTGCACAAGATTATTCCATGTCAGTTGCGTTGTACGGTGGTTGTCTTTTTCACAGTTCCCAATATGGCTTCCTGAAACAGTGGTTTCTGTGAGATTTGAAAAGGCCTTGTGGGAGCTCAGGGAATTGTGGGAGAAATCAAACTATTTCCTGGGAAAGCCACACAAGATTCCAAGAAATAGAACCATTTCCAAGTCCTTTTTGCCAAATCGAGGTCAAGAACAATACTCGCCGTTGGCTTTTTGCTTAGTCAGAAAGGTTTTTGCTGGAGCTTTTGAAAAATAATTGAGATGCAGGTACACTGGGAAAAGGACTTGGAAATGACACTGTTTCTTGGAAATTTATGGGAGTTTCTCAGGAAAATATGTGACCTATTTTTCTTTAATTCTCCTGCTTGACACTTAGGAGGCCTTTTGAAATCTCCCATAAGCCATTGCTTCAGAGAACAGTACTGACTATTCTTATGTATCCAGATGACAATGCAACTGCAGTGGTGCAGAACAGCTCTAGAATATATGTGCAGGGAAAAACTGCGTCTCCAACAGCGTGATTACTTAACACATCGTACTGTTGACGCATGCACTAGTGCTGGCTTAATAGGGATGTAAGCGGCTAGTCGGTGTACCGTTTAACTGATAAGCAATTGCTTATTGGTTACTGGTCCCAGTTAACCGCAGCAACCCCCCTTACCTGTGTGCTCTGCATTTAAAACTTGGACTGGCAGGCTGGCTCAGTCCCGGACCGCTGGTCCGAGTTTTCAATGAGGATCATGCCTGCCACCATGTGCTGCTGTGGAGCACCCTCTGTCCCAGCTGGCCAGGGCTCCCTGCAGAGAGAGGCTGCACCATGGGATGCTAGCGCAGCCTCTGTCCACAGGGAGCTCAGCCCCCTCAAAGAGAGACAGCAGATAGACTAGCCCCCATGTGGGGAGCTGATTTTTAAATTGGCTCCCCTTGCAGACTGGTTCCCACCTGTCACCCTGCCCTGTTGCCTCTGATACAAAAGCAGCAGTGTGGAGTGGCAGAGGGCTCCCCAGGAGTAGGGCCAGGAGCTGAGAGCGCACTGGCTGCCAGCCCCTCCCTAGGATGGGGGGAGAATTTTAGTAACTGTGTAACCACTAAGAATTCTTATGGGTACACTATTACTAAAATAAACAATTTCTAACATCCCTATGGCTTATGTATTCATTTACTAATTGTTTGATTCTGTACCGGGGATGCAACCATGGAGTAAAAAACTCCTTTTCCAGCTGTCCTTGGGATAGTGCAAATCTGTGCAATTAGGGGCTGTGCCTTAAGGGCACATCTAAACCTTGGACCGTGAAGTCTTTTGGGCAGAGCCATCTTTTTGTTTTGTGTTTGTGTCCAGGACTGGAGCTTTTAGATGTTATCATAAGACACTCAACAATAATCAGAATTTGTAATGTAAATGAGTTCATTCTAAAACTATGTTTAAACGTACCTGAAAATGTTCCAAAACATCACCTCAGCAAAGCAGACAGTTGTATCATCTCTAGGGCTTAATGTTAATGAGAATGCTAATAGGAAGCACAGCCTTATGACAGAGTAGGACAGGAACAATAGAGTTGCAGTCAGAGATGCAGGGAGCAGCACATTTTAGCTTCATCCTATATATTTTGTGGAATTGTTCTGGCTGAGTTGATATCCATGAAATATTTAGAAATTGTACAGAAACAAATCAGATTTTATTTAAAAACAGTAGTAAAATTCTGCTTTTCTGTGTTTCTGACTGCAGCCTTGATATTTTTGTCCTTATCTGACAATACAGATGCCTTCTTGTTATTGTACATTTAAATATTTTATAAACAGATCATTTTTAAAAACCAGTGATTCAGCCATGTTTTATATCAGAGCAAATGCCAAAGTGTCTAGTTGGTGCTGCACAAACAATACATTCTAAAGATTGTTTGCCTATTCTGATGTCTATTAAAATCTTGTACTTCCTTATTCCAGGGGCTGGTCACTGGCTGGTGGCTCACAGAGCTGCTCAGAAGACTACATTTGAAGCAGTGATCTGTGCAAAATCTCTTCAAGAGAAAGTACAGACAACTCCACAGTATGTGTCAGAACTCCAGCACCATGGATACACAGATGAAACTGTTCAAGAGAATATCTTAGATGGGCCATTTCTGGTGAGTGAAAACCTAACTGAATGATGAGGTTACCACAGGTTCCATTAGCACTGGGTCAATTTGTCCTTTTATCTTAAGGTTTAGACCATTCAGGCTGTGTGGGTCACACAGGTGACTCCTTAAAAGCCCAGGGGTTCTTTCTTCTGTATAGACCCAGTGGCAATTTTTGGAAGAGTTAGGGACTTGTCCTTATATCTATAGCCAAGTTTCTCTGCTGCCCCTGCTGTTTAGCGGTGGTCTGATTGTTGCCATCTTCCACACAATAAGTAACTTCATTTCAGTGGCAGTACATGCAGACACAAGTCAAATGTTACTTAGATTGTAAACTTTTTGGGCTAGAGACTCTCTTTGTTCTCCACAGCACAATGGGACTATGGAGCTACTACAATACAACTAAAAAATAAAATTTGGAATTCTCTACTACTGGAAGGGCTGCAAAATCCATTTGAAAAAAAGTCAAGACAAATGCTCATATTAAGGATGTAAAGAAGTAGTCGATAAGCAGGAGCTTATCGGGTAGCACTATCAACTACTCACTCATTTCACTCCCCCTGCATTTTTAAAGGGAAGCCAGCAGGAGAGGATGCTGGTTGAATCCCTAGTCCTGGGTCTCAGCACAAACACAAACCCCTGCTCATTGCCACTCTCCATTTTTAAAGAGAAGCCGGTGCGAGTGCTGATCTCTTCGGCTGTGTCTAGACTGGCCAGTTTTTCCAGAAAATCAGCCGCTTTTCCGGAAAAACTTGCCAACTGTCTACACTGTCCGCTTGAATTTCCGCAAGAACACTGACTTCCTACTGTTTGAAATCAGTGCTTCTTGTGGAAATACTATGCTGTTCCCATTCAGGCAAAAGTCCCTTTTGCGCAGTTTTTGCGCCAATCGTGAAAATGGCGATCGGGGCTTTTTTGCGGAAAACCGCGTCTAGATTGGCACGGATGCTTTTCCACAAAAAGTGCTTTTGCGGAAAAGCGTCCGTGCCAATCTAGATGCTCTGTTCTGAAAATGTTTTTAACGGGAAACTTTTCTGTTAAAAGCATTTCCGGAAAATCATGCCAATCTAGACGAAGCCTTCAGGCCTTCTTCACAGCCTCCCATTCCTTCCAACATATCTGCTTCCCTTAGTCCATATTTTAGCTGTTCCACAGAAAAGTTCCCTTCTCTCCCTTCTCAGTTACAAAACCCTCTCTCATCCAAAGAGCACTCTGACTTGTTAATCCATGCCCTTCCTCCCAGTCTGTTCTAATGGTAATACCTGGTGCATAACTTCTGAACCAAAATACCATGAATGCTGGTCTCACACAAAGCTCTATCACACCGCATTCCTATCTAATTTCATATGCACTGTGTGATATAAAGGCCTGCATTGTTTTCATCACCCAGAAAACATGTTAATAATGTTAAGAAATTAGTCTGATATTTCTGAAGCCAGTTTGCTACAAATACTCAACCTCTACAGTAGGGACATTAAATATCGGTTAAGTGAATAGTCAAGTAACCTCATGAATTCTTATCGGTTAGTCGACTATTCTGTAGTCTCTAGGGGCGGGACTGGCAGCAAGTGTGCTCCAGCCTCACTCTCACAGAGCCCCCTGCCACTCCACACTGCTGCCACTGTATCAGAGGTGGCAGAGTGGGGTGCCAGGTGAGAGCCAGTCCGTGAGGGGAGCCAGTTTAAAAACCAGCTCCCCTTGCAGACCGGCTCCCTGTTGCCCTTTGCTGCTGCCTCTGATAAAGAGGCAGCAGTGTGGGGTGGCAGCAGCCCCTGTTTAGCGGGGATCTGAGCTCCTAGACCTGGCACAAGCTGGAACTGAGCCAGGCTGCCTGCCTGCCCAGCTCCTAATACACTTTAAATGCAGAGCTGTAGCAAGGGTAGGTCCCAGACCCATTGCAAGTCAGGACTGAGCCGGGCTGCTGGCCTGCCTGCTAAAAAATTTGCTGGCAGGGGGGCTTATAGTCTGTAACATTAACCTGTAAGCCTTTGCTTATTGGTTAATCAGTTAGTCGACTACACTATTACATCTCTACAGCAATACATGATCCCCATATATTAGCAATTACTGCCAGCTGATCAGACATGTCTTCTTTTAAAGCCCCTTATGAGATGAGTTCAGACATAGGAGAAGGAGGGAAAATTCTTATGCTTCTTCATTTGCAGAAACTTGCAGGGGGTATCTGTAGAACCACGCAGACAGGGACAGGTCATGATACACGTTGCTCACTAGAAGAAAGAAATGACAATCCAGCTGGTTTGCAAAGTCTTAACTTTTAATGATTTCATGGGATGTGATACAGACTCTGTGCTTTGTAAACATGTAACTTCAGACTTTAAAGAAACAGGAAGGTAGATGACTACTGCAAAATATTTGTTTGTTTTATTATTATAAACAGTGACTCTCACTGCAAAATATCCCAAGTCTTTTTGTTCTATTTTTAAATTCAGTTGTTACTGAAAAATCACTCAGGCCTTCTCTATACAGATAGAATGTGGTAAATTGAGGTGTATCTACAGTGCATTAACTCCTTAGAAACTGAGTGATCAAAGCACACTATGGAACTTTTAGCTCTCAGTAGCAGGGTCCACATGGCCAGTTAGTATCGGGCAGACTACTGCATTATCAGTTTACACCCCAGTTTTCCACACACAAATGATTGACCAGCCTTCACTAAGAATTTTATAAACGCATTAACACAACACAGAACTAACAAGGAATAAACTCTGTAATGTTTGCTAGCAAAGGAATGTTCCTGTGCATAACTGAAAACAGGTTGGATCTCCCTGGTCCGGCACTCTCGGGACCCGAGCAGTCCCAATCCAGGGAGTTTGCCAGGCCAGGGAAGATCAATGCTTCCCTACTGGCTGCCCCGCTCCCAGGCTCCCAAGGCTAGGGCTCCCACCCTGCTGCCGGCAGGGTTCCCTGGGGCCACCCAGCTGCTGACAACCCCGCTCAGAAGCCATCTGCCCAGTTGCCAGGCTTCCTGGCCAAGACTTCCCTGTTGCCACCTGGCCCTGGTGCTGCCAGGGATGGGATATCTGGCTGGAGTTCCCCGGCCCCGCCTGGCCCCAGTGATGCCAGGGAATTCTCTGGCCACCTGGCCACCCCAACCCCACTGCCACTGGGGATTTCCCAGGTTTCCTGGCCCAAATAATGTTGGAGTTCCCCAGCCAGGGCCACCACTGGCCCCACTGCCAGGGCCTGTCCTGCTTCTGCTGGGGGTTTCCCAGGGTTCTCTGGTCCAGGACCGCCTAGCTGCTGCCTGGCCCCGCTGCTGCAGTGAGTCCCCCAGCTGGGGCAGAGCTCCTCATTAGCCGCCTGGCCTGGTTGACACCAAGGATTCCCTTGCTGGGGTAGGGTCTCCCCATTCACCGCCTGGTGCTGCTAATGCTACGGGTTCTTTGGCTGGGGTGGGGCTCCTTACCCCCGCTTGCTTCCTTTTCCTAGCATATTACCGAACAGCAGTATAGTGTTACCAAGGCCGTGTCCAGACTCAGGGGTTTTTTCGGGAAAAGTAGCCTTTTCCCAAAAAAACTTCCCCTACGTCCAGACTCAAGCCGCGTTCTTTCGAAATTAAATCGAAAGAATGCGGCTTTTCTTTCGATGGCGGTAAACCTCATTTCACGAGGAAGAACGCCTTCCTTCGAAAGTTCCTCTTTCGAAGGAAGGTGTTCTTCAATGTAAAGAGGCCGTCTTCGAAAGAGAGCATCCAGACTCGCTGGGTGCTCTCTTTCGAAAAAGCGGATTTCTCTTTCGAAAGATCCGCCTGCAGTCTAGACGCGATCTTTTGAAAGAGGCTCTTTCGAAAGATGCTTTCGAAAGAGCCTCTTTCGAAAGAAGCCTGCAGTCTAGACATAGCCCAAATGTCAGATTTAAATGACCTCAAACTATGTATCAATGGCTTATTCCCTCAGTACCCCAAAGGACTGCATTACATATTGTATATACACATATGTGCGTTGGGGCTTTTCTACACATGCAAATTATTCTAGAATAAAGTAGTATGTGAACTGAAAGCAGAACAGCTATTCTGGAATAACTCTGTGTACAGACAAGCCCTTAATATCAGGGATCTGATTAAACCTGTAACTTTTGGGAACAATCAGAGCCATGGCAGAACTTAATCTAGTTTCTTACCTTCCTTGGCTGGACCAACATATTAAATGGGTTTCCAAACATAGGTTATTCCATATAAAATATTTTTTTAAAAAGACTGGAAATATAACCATGTGTACATTCATTGCAGGAATTAAGACTGTCTGAGATAAGCCCACTTCCTCTTAATGGTGGGCCCCTGCTGGATAATCCTGTGAGAGCCAAAAATGTTTAGGATTTCCACTGGTGTGATATGCAGGGGAAAATTTCCTCCCTGATCCTGGTGACCGGCGCAGCTCTGTCCACACTGGCACAAGTCTCTACAGCTAAGCATCTGATCTGATATATACCTCAAAATAATGTTCCATTCACCTTTCTATCCCTTGTCTTTATGTGGCCATGATCCTTCAAGTTACTCCATGTGGGTGGATCTCTGAGCCTGTGTGAACCCCAAGGGGACTGTTCTTCCTTTTATTTTAACTGTATTTTAGATTGTGATTTTCACTCTGCCTAAACCAGGCTGCAAGTAGGAGCAGGTCTTTTTGCACTACCTTTGATAAATGCAGACAGGAAACAGTTACAGTAAATATTTTAAATCATTCATTAATATCCGTTCAGTTCGGGTTGAGAGCTTATCCCTTGAACAGCTCATATACTCACCAGACGTTTTCTTTGGCTTGGTCTTCTGTAGCTTAGCTGCGTAAAGATCAACAGAAGAATGATACCCGATTTGCTCTGGTACATTTGACATTGAGGCACCAGGGACGGATGCCACAGTATGCCTGATAAGTCACTCTACAGTGCAAGTCTCATCCCATTCTCGTGAATGGCAATAACATATCCAGGCTTTCCTGTACTTTATCTTGATTTCCAGCCATCTTTTTGAATGCTGATTTCCAGCCATCTTTTTGATTGCGTTTCAGCTTCCCACAGATAGTGAGTTCTTTCAAGGTTGCAGCCGATATAGAACAGTTTGTTTTTGTCTTGGGAGCTCTTTTGAATTTTCTTCTCAGTGATTGGGAGGTCACTGACGCATCCTGTGGCACTGGATGAATTTGGTGTCGGACTCTTGCAGTATTCCAGGGAATGCCCGATGGAGCTTCTCTGTCAGAGTAGCTTCCTGGCTCCCAAAATGTTCAACTGCTCTGGATTCTTTTCTGGTTCTGGCCATATCGTCCACGAGTTTCCATATTCTATTTGGATCTACCATCTTTTCTGGTGCATCAGACTATGGCTCTGAAATGTTTCCTATCAGGTGTTACTGGGATCCCCATTGGAGTACAGAGGGGTGATCTTGACAGAAAATAAGAAACAATAAACTATATCTGTGGGGAGCAAATTAACCTGAAGCCTGGACTCTCCTGGAGAAAGTTACCTATATAAACAGAAATCAGAGAACGCCTGCCTTGGATCATTTGAGTCCCATTAGAGCTACCGACACCCCCGATGTTTATGTTAACAAAATCTACTGTCATGGACCCAAAGTCTGCTTTGTGCAGCTCCCAGTGTGCTCTCAAAGGTAGTTTTAAGATCCCTTGAACAATATTTGGTGCTGGTTGATAGTGGCTTCAAAAGCCCAGCCTCTAAGCCAAGGATCACTAGGTGGCATTGGCTACATCTTTTTTTAACCTGGTTATTCTCCTGTCATGAGAGGCTGGGTTGGTGATGGTAGGGAGCCCTTAGGACAGTCCTACAGCTACCTCCCAAGCATTACCCTAGGCAGAGACTGGCTTTGATCCATAGAGCTCCCTCTATCCCCTCCATACTGTTCGTGCCATGGGGCAGGTCAGAGGGCAGCACAGTGAGCCCTGTCCCCTGTCCAGTGAAGGCTGAAGGGCGCATCCTGGGCAGCCAGGGCATGGGTGCTGTGAGGGGAGGTTAGCCTTTTGTACAGGCTCCTCTCTGGATCATGCTGCAGCAGGAGCGCACCCCTTGTAGAGCTCGCATTGCTGCAGCGTGTGCCTGCAGCTCCTCTGTGAGAGCAGGCCCTTGTCCTCGAGTCATCAGCCAGATAATAAACCCAGGCAGTCCTGTTTCTGCTTGTCCTGAGCCTACGCTGAACAGTTGGAGCTGCCTAGCTAGGCTGCAGGGCTGAAGCTAACCCTTTGGTTTGTGTTCCTAGATTCAGCTCCACTGTGTGAAGATCCCTTCAGATCTGTGCTCTGTGGATATAAGCAACAAGAATCTGGTCTCGGTAAGTAGGAGATACTCACATGTGGAGAACCACCAGAAGTCCTGAGAGACCTTCACTGTGGGTATGTCTACACTACCCCCCTAGTTCGAACTAGGGGGGGTAATGTAGTCATACGGAGTTGCAAATGAAGCCCGGGATTTGAATTTCCCGGGCTTCATTTGCATGAAGCCGGCCGGCGCCATTTTTAAATGCTGGCTAGTTCAGACTCCATGCCATGCGGCTACATGCGGCACGGACTAGCTAGTTCGGATAGCCGCGCGGCACGGAGTCCGAACTAGCCGGCATTTAAAAATGGCGCCGGCCGGCTTCATGCAAATGAAGCCCAGGAAATTCAAATCCCGGGCTTCATTTACAACTCCGTATGACTACATTACCCCCCCTAGTTCGAACTAGGGGGGTAGTGTAGACATACCCTGTGTTAGCCATGAGTGGCCGTATGTGTGTGTGTGTGTGTGTGTGTGTGTGTGTGTGTGTGAATGCAGACCCTGCGTCCCCCTGCAACCAGGCCACACAGCCACGCACCTGGAGTATAGCTCAGTGATTCTCAACACGTTGGGGGACAGGACCCATCTGTAACCTTGATGGCCTGATGTGTGCAAAACAAATGGCTTATTGAATATTTTCCCCGTGGTACTTAATATACATGTAGCCATAGTAAGCAGTAAATAAGTACACAAAATGTAGGTCCTGTACACAGATGGCTACTGAAAATATTCTTGGGGGTGGGGCAATGGCTGACTGAATAAAACTGTTTCAGGCCCCACTCTGCTGTGTGTGTGGACAGAGTACAGGGGTATCATTGTCGCTATCCTAGTCCAGTATGGAGACAAGGCCTTGGATAGTAGGGGGATACAACTGTTACACATACCATGTTGGGGATCATTCCTGCCCTGCAATAGCAACTCCTATCCCATGCAGATTTTCTCTGTCAGGCTCCTCTGAATGGGTGAGGGGATCTAAGCCCTCTGTCTGCCCCAAGAAGAGAAGAGGGGAAGGGAAAAGAAGGGGGAAGGTCATCAGTCCTTTTGTAAAGATGGGAAGCTGATGCTGGAGTTAGAGAAGTTCCAGTGGGATTCCTGGGTGAGCCAAAGGGACTAGGGGTATGTCTACACTATCCCGCTAGTTCAAACTAGCGGGGTAATGTAGGCATACCACACTTGCAAATGAAGCCCGGGATTTGAATTTCCTGGGCTTCATTTGCATAAGCGGGGAGCCGCCATTTTTA